CTGTTACTTCCCTCATTTTCTCGCCTACACAATGACAGTTTTAATGTCAATTTGCTTGAAGTTAAATTTCTTGAAGACCGAGCATACTTTCTTTTTACAGTCTTTGTTTCCTTGTATATATATATATATATATATATATATATATATATATATATATATATTTCCAAGTCGTAAATTTCTTGATCTTGAATGCCTTTCCATTTCCAAATAATGGTTTTCATATATGTCTAGCATTTTTCTCAGGGAATATATTTTTTCTTGTTGTGTTGGTATAATGACAAAAATACGCAGATGTAGGATTTAAGAAAGATTTATTTAACTGAGAATAAAAGTTTCGCGTATATTGTCCTTTTATAGTCCCAGTAAACAGACAAATCTCTCGCAAAGAGGAGAGTAATAAAACAAAGGGGAGACAACTCTTGATTATTCATAATACTCACATAAGTTTGTTTATTACCTTTATATATTTCTGAGATGAGGTATTATGCACTCTATTTACATTATTCGGACTACTGTCCTCATTGTTATCGCCATATTTATTACAACAATAACAACAAAAATTGCAATTTTTATTGTTATTATAGCTTTTCTCAAGCACTCCTTATTTACTGGTTCCCATATTGTATTCATTTCTATGCTTAGTCAGCTCAGGAGATTTTTGTGGCGTAGCATATGTGCTGACTCCTTAAGTTTACGAATATTCCAATGGTTTTCTTTGTCTATGATCTCATCCTGATCCCACAAAGGGCGGTGTTCTCACTTTTCTCTCCAATTTTTTACAATATGAGGGGCGGTGTTCTCACTTTTCTCTCCAATTTTTTACAATATGAGGTCTGGCAAAAAATTCAATGATGACAGCAAAAATTGAAATATGAGCACTGGTAAAATATGGTTACTGAAGACATTAGGTTTATAATACCCAGAAATTCATACACAGATGTTTTCAAGGACACATTAAGGCCGGAGCGTACAACATTGTAATAAATATGGCGACAAAGATGAGGACAACAGTCCAAATATTGTAAATAGTGTACATAATACCTGATCTCAGAAATATAGACAGATACTGAAAGGCTGAAATGTTGTAATAAATATGGCAACAAAGATGAGGAAAATAGTTCAAATAATGTAAATAGTGTACATAATACTTCATCTTAGAAATATAGACAGATACTGAAAGGCTGAAACGTTGTAATAAATATGCCGACAAAGATGAGAACAATAGTCCGAATAATGTAAATAATGTACATAATACCTCATCTCAGAAATATAGACAGATACTGAAGTGCCGAAACGTTGTAATAAATATGGCGACAAAGATGAGGACAAAAGTCCGAATAATGTAAATAGCGTAAGTTTGTTCCTATTTTGATTTTATTTTCTTATAAAGTTTTCTCTCTAAAATTATTTATGATATTATATTTTTATTCTTCATAGATTATTAATATATAGAAAGATAATAGTCATATCTCACAGTAAATTATGACTAATTAACAACTTGAAATGGATTACTGGGTAAGTTCGGTTAGCACCTTTCCCTGAAAATTCGAAAATAAGTTTTGAAACGAAAATTACAAGAAATAGGCAATGGCTATACATCTGACTCATTTCTCTTCTTTCATGAAAAATTCATATTTTAGTCAAATATATGTACAACACTGAGATTTTAATGGGCAGCAGGGTATAAATTTTTAAAAGCTTTACATATGGACGGCTGTACTACGAAGTCATATTGCAAAATGGATCTATTTTATTTCCTTTGTAGCTTCAGAAACAATTTTTCGTAAGAATCACTGAAAAACTCTTTGAGTTATGCAGCTGAAACGAGAGCAGGTTAAAATTGTTTTGTGTCAGACCTACTGTCTTCCCGATTGAGCAATGGTAAGAGGAAAAAACATCATTCAGTTGTTCAGTAATGGCACCAACATTCATACACTGGCTTCCATCTTCAAAGTCCATTCAAAAACCATCAAGAGAAGGGTGAATAAGTTTAAAAAACAGGGAGAGGAAAAGTGCATCGGGAAATCAAGACAGGAAGAGGAGGTCATCATTTCAATTTAGAGCTAAAGAGATCAATTAGAAGAAATCCAACTCAAATTAGAAAACCTTTGACATTTGAGAGAAGAGTTTCAGCTATGAAAATGAAATCATACGTGAAATCTGTGAGGTAACTTGTTACTGCAGGACAGAAAGTTAGAAGGTTAGAGAGGGTAAAGATCATCTTGAATAAGTTGGAAAATGATCCTGGGATAATATATATATATATATATATATATATATATATATATATATATATATGTATGTATGTATGTATTTAGCACTTAATTTCAATCCTTCATGAGCTTCTGATCCCTAAGCTATGATTAATTAATGATGAACATGTCATTTTCATTTATCACTATTCTTCTGTTAAGCGTGGAGAGTAATTATACATTTTTATTGTTCAAAGTAATGTTCAATAGTGTTATAAAAAGCTCGAAGAAAAATATCTTCTTAAGATACCTCCTTAAATGAAGTTAAACCTGACCGATATACAAACAAACGCATATCTACCTTTTTGAATATCGTAAAAAAAGAAATTGTGTGTACCCGCTTGTCTCTCGTGAAATCCGGAATTATATGTACCTGAATAAAATAAATTATAGTTTTGTCACATTTTTCGAATAATAAAAAAAATTATATGTATGTTTCTGAGACTAGTGAAAACCATATTGGAATGCTCATATTTCAGCTTTATGTAGAACACCACGGACTTAATAATTCTGGTACCGATGCATCCAGTAAGGTACATTTTCGTCTTAATATAGAACACAGCGGCCTTAACAACCCAACGTACAAGGTACATTTTCGTCTTTATGTAAAACACCGCGAATTTAGCAGTCCTAGTACCGATGTACCCAACAAGGTACATTTTTCGTCTTAACAATACCAACGTAACAAAATGTACATTTTCGTCTTTATGTAAAACACCGCGAATTTAGCAGTACTAGTACCGATGTACCCAACAAGGTACATTTTTCGTATTTATGTAACACCGCGAAGTTTGCAGTCCTAGTACCGATGTACCCAACAAGGTACATTTTTCGTCTTTATGTGAAACATCGCGAAGTTTGCAGTCCTAATACCGATGTACCCAACAAGGTACATTTTTCGTCTTAATATAGAACACAGCGGCCTTAACAACCCAACATACAAGGTACATTTTCGTCTTTATGTAAAACACCGCGAATTTAGCAGTCCTAATACCAATGTACTTAACAAGGTACATTTTCGTCTTTATGTAAAACACGGCGAATTTAGCAGTCCTAGTACCGATGTACCCAACAAGGTACATTTTTAGTCTTTATGTAGAACACAGCGAATTTAGAAGTCCTAGTACCGATGTACTTAACAAGGTACATTTTTCGTCTTTATGTAGAACACAGCGAATTTAGCAGTCCTAGTACCGATGTACCCAACAAGGTACATTTTTGTCTTTATGTAGAACAGCACAATGTTAACAATCCCGGTACTGACGTACCCAGCAAAGTACATTTTTCGACACTGGGACTTAACAATCCCAGTACCGATGTACCCAGCAAGGTCAATTTTCGTTTCTATGTAAGGTATATTTTCGTCTATGTAGAACACCGCGGTGTTAACAGTCCCAATACCGATGTACCCAACAGGGTACAATTTCCTCTCTATGTTGAACAACACGGAGTTAACAATCCCAGTACCAATGTACCCAGCAAGGTAAATTTTCGTTTTAATATAGAACACAGCGCCTTAACAACCCAACGTACAAGGTACATTTTCGTCTTTATGTAAAATACAGCGAATTTAGCAGTCCTTGTACCGATGTACCCAACAAGGTACATTTTTCGTCTTTATGTAGAACAGCACAATTTTAACAATCCCGGTATTGACGTACCCAGCAAGGTACATTCTTCGACACTGGGACATAACAATCCCAGTACCGATGTACCCAGTAAGGTCAATTTTCGTTTCTATGTAGAACGCCACGAACTTAACAGTCCCAGTACTAATGTACCCAGTATGGTACATATTTCAACTTCATGAAGAAGACCGCGGACTTATAAATTTAAGCACTGATGTACCCAGCTAGGTAATTTTTCGTCTTTATGCAAACTTAACAATCCAATTACTGATATACCGAGCAAGGTACATTTTCGTCTATGTAGAACACCGCGGTGTTAACAGTCCCAGTACCGATGTACCCAACAAGGTACATTTTTCTCTTTATGTTGAACAACGCGGACTTAACAATCCCAGTAATAATATACACAGCAAGGTACATTTTTCGTCTCTATGTAGAACAATGCGGACTTTCAATACCATTAAACTAAACAATCTCCATTTACACACAAACACACTGATAAACACACACATGCATAAACGCATGTCCACTTTTTTACATACGTGGAATGCATACAAATTCCCGCTTCTTTTTAATACTACTGACTGCTACAGTAACGTGTACCATAAAAAGAGGATAGAATTAAGCATAACCCTCGCCAGTTCTAGTTCGTTATACCAAGACACACCCTTGGGAAGAAGCGGGAATGAAACGCTGAAGGAAGCCCTAAAAAGAAAGGGCGGTAAAAACAGTGGGAGTAGAGATACTATTAGCATATTTATTTGTCGGAAAACGTCTTCGCATTATTGAAATCAGAAACTTGGCCTAAAGCTAAAAACATGACCATACTGGTAAAAGCGCGAACCAATGTCACACGATTTGTGGGCTAAGGAGTCAAGATTTGGCAGAAAAAGATGGCGACATAAAAAAAAAAGAAAAGAAACACCAGACTGACGTCGCATTGTTCTGGGTCCCATGAAGGAAGAGACAAGTAGGTTAATAATGCATTATATAGAGACATGTCTTGCATTGGCCTCTTCATCCTCTTTAGGGAGGGTCTCGAATATTTTTACAAGTGATCTCTTATAACTCTGTGTGTGTGTGTGTGTGTGTGTGTGTCTGTGTGTGTGTGTGTGTGTGTATGCGTCTTTCTCTTTATTTCTCCGGCTCTCTCTCTCTCTCTCTCTCTGGGTTTTCCCCCTCTTTTTCTGTTGCTGTTTGTTTTTCCCTTCTCAATATCTCTATCCCTCACGCTCTCTCTCTCTCTCTCTCTTTCGCTCTGTGTGTGTGTGTCATTTTGTTGCTGTTTGACTGTTTTTTCTTTCTCAATATCGCTATCAGTCTCTCTCTCTCCCCCCTCTTTTTCTGTTGCTGTTTGATTTTGCTTTCTCAATATCACTCTCCCTTACGCTCTCTCTCTCTTTCTCTTTCTCTCTCTCATTTTCTGTTTCTATCTCTATTTTTATCCACTATTCACTTTTTCTCTATCTGTCTACCTCGTTCTGTTTTGTTTACTCACTGTTCTCTGTCTCTCTCGCTATCTAACACTCTATGTCTCTGACCTCTCGATCACTCTCTTTTATTATTATTATTATTATTATTATTATTATTATTATGTGTAATAATAATAATAATAATAATAATAATAATAATAATAATAATAAAAAAAAATAAAAACAACGTGGCCGAGTTGTTAGAATGTTCGCATTCTGACTATGAGACCCGGGTTCGACTCTCACCATGGTCGAAACTTCCTAATGTTTATCGGGCTGCTCGATCTTTGGAAGGTGGCTGGACCCAAGCCTTGTGAGTAAAATTGGGTGGATGGAACACTTGGAGGCCATTGATAGCTGTGCTAGCATGAAGTCACAAGTCATCGTGGCTGGGGGCTTTAGCGGGCTTGCCTTATTCAAATTGTTAAACACGCTCTTTCCCAGAAATTGTAACTAAGGTTTCCTCAGGCTAGTTGCAGTATAAACCACAGGTAGTCTCTGTGGATGTTGAATAAACATGAATGTTCCTGAGCAAGCGACTGCAATAGGGATTGGCTAGAAAATTTACATATATATATATATATATATATATATATATATATATATATGAAAAGAAAAATATACAGAAAAAACAAACAAAAATCTTAATATGCAATTATACTGTATTAATGTTAATATAAAGTCAACGTCGGACATTTCGGTCTATTTAAGACCATCTTCATGGACATTTTCATTTAAACATAACATTTTTATATATTTTATTTATATATATTATATTTTTATATGTTCTAATGTTAATTATGTTTAAATGAAAATGTCCTGACGATGGTCTTAAATAGACCGAAACGTCCGACGTTGACGTTATATTAACATTAATACAGCATACTTGCATATTAAGATTTTTGTTTGTTTTTTTGTATATTTTCTTCATATCGGATCTATATCCATATATTTGCTATATATATATATATATATATATATATATATATGTGTGTGTGTGTGTGTGTGTGTGTGTGTGTTGCATTTAAGTTTACTTTTTAAATATTTAATTAGTTTGGCATTTCTCTCTCCCTCACTCTCTTTCTTCCTCTCTCTGCATTATTCTCTCTGTATTCCAATTCTGTTTTTCTATCACTGTTTTCTCCCCCGTCTCTCTCGCTTTCTCCACCCACCTCTACCTGTCTTCTCTCTCTCTCTCTCTCTCTCTGTCTCTTCTCTCTCTCTCTTATTCTTCTCTGTGTCTCCATTATCGTATCACTATTTTCTCTTTGTCTTTTCTCACTTTTCTCTCTCAGTTACTATCTTTCTTCCCTTTCCCTCTCTCCCTCTCAATATATATATATATATATATATATATATATATATATATATATATATGAAAGAAAATACAGAAAAAAACAAAATCTGAATATGCATTTATGTAGTATTAATGTTAAAATAAAGTAAACGTCGGACGTTTCGGTCTATTTAAGACCATCATCATGGACATTTTCATTTAAACATAATTAACATTATAACTTATAAAAAATTAACACAAAAGACGATGGACATAAGAGTCCAAATAATTCACACAGATAACTGAAATTTTATACAGATCAGCGTTCTGTTTAATACGTTTTAACAACATCGCCCACGTGACGACTACGTGATCATATTTAAACAGAACGCTGATCTGTATAAAATTTTAGTTATTTGTGTGAATTATTTGGGCTCTTATGTCCATCGTCTTTTGTGTTAAATTTTTATAAGTTATAATGTTAATTATGTTTAAATGAAAATGTCCATGATGATGGTCTTAAATAGACCGAAACGTCCGACGTCGACTTTATTTTAACATTAATAATGCATATTCAGAATTTATTTTCTTTGCTCAAAATATTGACTCTCTCTCTTTCTCTCCCCTCCACTCTCTCTCTCTCTCTCTCTCTCTCTCTATCTTACTCATCACTCTCGAGTCTCTTTCTTTTCCTCTCTCTAACTTCCCTTCTTCTCTCATTATCTCATTCTTTCTATCTGATCTGTTCTGATTCTCTTGTTTTTATTCGTTCTTCTACCCATCTTTTCTCTCTCTATTGCCTTTTTCTCTTTCTCTCCCCTCTCTGTCTCTCTTACTCATCACTCTCGTTTCTCTCTCTCTCTCTCTCTCTCTCTCTCTCTCTCTCTCTAACACTTACCTTCTTTCTCGGTCTCTTATATAAATCCTTTCTTCTTATCTTGCGATTGGCCTTCTTCTTGTCTACCACTCTATATTATATCTACCTCGCTTTTTCCTCGCAATATTTTTTTTTATTTTTTCTCTCTCTTTGACTTTTGTCTCTCCCTCTCTCTATCTCTCCCTATCCCAGATTTCTTTCTCTCCCACTTCCCTCGCTTCTATTTTCATTCGTTCTTTCTCCTCATGGTTTCTCCATGTTTTTTTTTTTTTATATATCTTTCTCTCTATATATCTTCTATTTCTCTCTATTTTCTCTCTTACTTCTACTCTCTCTCCCACTCCCTATTTTCATTCATTTCTCTATAGCCATCTATGACTACCTTTCTTTCTCTTCTGACATCAAATCTTCCGTTTTTTTTTCTTCTTTCTCTCCATTTTCTCTTTCTCCTGTTGGTTTCGCCATATCTTTTTCTTTCTTTCTTTCTTTCTTTCTTTCTTTCTTTCTTTCTTTCTTTCTTGCTTTCTTGCTTTGGTATTCACTTATCTCTCAATAATTATCTATAACTATCCTTCTGTTGCTGTTCACGAGAGTGATGAGTAATAGAGAAAAAGAGAGACAGAGTGGAGGGGAGAGAAAAAGAGAGACAGAGTGGAGGGGAGAGAAAGAGAGAGAGTCATCATTTGAGCAAAGAAAATAAGGAGACAAATATAGAAATAACAAGAACAGTAAAAGAGAGACACAGAGGTATAACGACGCGCACACACACTCACACACGCACACACATACACACACACACACATATATATATATATATATATTGAGAGGGAGAGAGAGGGAAAGGAAAGAAAGATAGTAACTGAGAGAGAAAAGTGATAAAAAGACAGAGAGAAAATAGTGATACGATAATGGAGACACAGAGAGAAGAATAAGAGAGAGAGAGAGAGAGAGAGAGAGAGAGAGCCATTCCGTCTTTTTTTTTTTCCCCGCCGTTTTGATCTCGATCTCCTCTTTCTTTTTATTCAATCTTTCTCTCTTTCACACACACACATTCTCTCTTTCTCTCTTTCTCTATCTCTCTCTCTCTCTCTCTCTCTCTCTCTCTCTCTCTCTCTCTCTCTCTCTCTGTCTACCGTTTTATCTCAATTTTCTTTTTATCTATTCTTTCTCTGTAAATTTTTAAGTATTTTTTTTTTTATAAAAGTGCTCGTGAAAAAGGGCCTGGTTTATATATACACTTTTTTTTTCACCTGAGGCGATGAAAAGTAATTACCTTTTTGCAATCCAAAATGACAGTGGAGCCTATCGAGGAGAGGACATAGAGATTCTTTCGACCCTTACACCCTCCCACATTCTGTGTAGACACACCCAACCACACATATGACTGCCTATGTGTGAGGGGTTGAAAAATGTTCCCTGTCCGACTTGGAATTCTTCACCGTGAAAGGCAAAGTTTGGATATTGGACCAGATTTAGATATTTCATTATTCCGTATATGAAAACCTATCTATCTATCTATCTATCTATCTATCTATCTATCTATCTATCTATCTATCTATCCCAGTTTGTTCATATCTATCTATCTATCTATATATCTATCTATCTATCTATCTATCTCAGTCTGTTCATATCTATCTATCTATCTATTTATCTATCTATATATCTATCTATCAATCTATCTCTCTATCTATCGCAGTCTGTTCATATCTATCTATCTATCTATCTATCTATCTATCTATCTATCTATCTATCTATTTATCGCAGTCTGTTCATATTTATCTATCTATCTATCTATCTATCTATCTATCTATCTATCTATCTCAGTCTGTTCATTATCTATCTATCTATCTATCTATCTATCTATCTCAGTCTGTTCATATCTATCTATCTATCTATCTATCGCAGTCTGTTCATATCTATCTATCTATCTATCTATCTATCTATCTATCTATCTATCTATCTATCGCAGTCTGTTCATATCTATCTATCTATCTATCTATCTATCTATCTATCTATCTATC